CTATTGGAAACTGAATTTGCATGTAGAGCGCTTTTGAACTCATTCTTATATCATCTTTTATGATTAATGTGTTAGAAGATTGTAGTGTTTTCACTTTGGATTAATAAAAAAAAGTTTTGCTACATTAAGAAAAGAAACATTCCTTTAAACATAAATATGAGCAGAATGATGTGGCATTCAGTCCCTGCTGTGTATTCTGCCAACAATTTACCTACACTTCTACAAATTAAACTTACAGGAATTATTATATTTTACACATTATTAAATTAATAAATATATTTTAGGGCCAGCCAAATAGCTCAGCAGATTAAAGCACCTGCAAGCAAGCACAGGGTCTGAGGGTTTGATCCCGAGGCCTGCCGTGCCGGCCCCACCCCCAGGGCATACTGAGAAGTCAATTGAGACTGGGCGTGGTGGTGCATACCTGTAATCCCAGCTCTTGGGAGGCTGTAAACAGGTGGATCACTATGAGTCCTTCTAGTAGTGAGACCCTGAACACCCTGTAGACCCTTCCCCAAAATACAAAAAATAAAATTAAATAAATAATATATTTTAAATATATTAATGTTCAGGAAAAAAGATTTTGCTTACAGTTTTCATAATTTTAATACTTTAATAAGACTAAGTTATTACGAGAAGAAAAATTTCAGAGAAAATTGTGAAAAACAGATTGAGTCTTACAAGATCCAGAATTTTTCCACAAGTGCCCATCAACTACAATTAACTGGGGAGATAGCTCAGCAAAATAAGTGCTTGCCTAGCAAGTACAAGGTCCTGAGTTCAATCTACAGTACCTCAAAAAAAAAAAAAAAATTAGGCTACAAATATCTTCCTCCAAATCTTAATTTATCTAGTATAAGATTTAAGGCTTGTTTCCCTCTACTTCTATGTCACTAAGGATGTTCCACATTCAAAAATCCTGGGTAATAGTAGGACTCTTAACTTAAACCTACAGTTTCTCTGTGACTTTTTGTTTCGTTTTGTTTTTGGTATCAGGGATTGAACTCAGGACCTTCTACTTGCCAGGCAGGTACTTATACCACTGAACTATCTCCCCAGTATTTAAATATTAGATTCTCCTTCTATGAGCACATGTTCCTGAGAGATGGACTAGTGAGCCCCATTGACCAATTCAGTTTCTGAAGCTGCTTTGGAGCCCAGCCCATATTTTGGTAAGATTCTGCCTGGCTGCAGTCTCTAGCTCTTGCCTATAATCTGCAATGTAATGTACATTCTTCTCATTTTCAAAACTCATCAGTGCCATTCTAGTATTATTTAGCACAGGGCCTACAGGGTCTCACTACACAGATCGGACTCATAGTGATCCTCCTGTTTTCAGCCTTCCAAGTGCTGGGATTGTAGGTGCGCGCCACCACGCCCAGTCTCCATCAGGTGGGGCCAGCACTACATGCCAGGGGTGGAACCCCAGTCTCTGTGTCTGCCTAAACAGGTGCTTTCATCCACTGAGCTATCTGGCCAGCCCCCTATCAGGAAGTTTCTTCTTCATAGCCTCTGCTGTGCCCAAGCCCCTCAGAACCACACTTGTTTGATGTTTCTGTTTGCTTCCTTGTCTAGTACAGTACATGCTGTCAGTACATGTCATTTGCATTCATTTTAGTGGGTAAGCACATGTACTTTACATATCTTGATTCTTTGTCTTCTCTTTTCTCTCCCCACCCCCTCTTCTCCCTCTATCTCTAATCTCTAACTGCTACTCTCCCTCCCCTTTCCCCATTTTCATTACTATTATTTTGCACTCTATGTTTGTGACAAAGTATGATTATTACATTCATAGTGAGAGTTGACATATATAAATGATGCTTCTTAAATCTCTTTTCTTCCCCTCCCCCCTCCTCCTATCTTGGTTCCTTGGTCCTCTCACCATTTGGAAAAAGCCTGTCTTTCCTTTTTTTTTTTTTTTTTTTATGGTATGGGGGATTGAACTCAGGACCTTGCGCTTGCCAGGCAAGAGCTTTTTCTACTGAGCTATCTCCCTGGCCCTTCTCTTTCCTTTTATCAGCTTTTTATTTTGCTTTTTATTTGTACTTTGGATTACTCAAATGAGAGAAACCACATTGTAGTTAAACTTGTGTTTCTGATTTATTTTCGTTAATATTATGCTATATGCGTTTTGATATGACTCCCTTTTTTGCTAGAAAGATGTCATAGAAATTAATTTGGAGTAAAATAATTTTAGACTGGAATAGCCTCTAAAGTCCAGCTGTGGAGCAAGTTACACATGTATTTCTAAATCCATCACTTCCTTCTGTATGCTTTACCTCAGAGGGCCTCTTCGGAGCTGTTATACTTGGAAGGCTTGGAAGAGCAAACACAAATTTACCAGGGACTCATCAAGACTCCAGTGAACTGGAGAGTTTAGCTTTCCCTCTCAGTGATTATTCTTGAAGTTTCTGGGTGACTTCCACTATTCTTCCTTTTTAGTCCTTTCCCAAAAGACCCCTGTTTAATGGTTATCAGTAACTGATTTAAAAGAAACAGCA